ATCGATGTGCCAGAATTAAAAAGATTCTGGGCATTGACTATGCTGATGGGCATCATAAAGAAGCCCTCGATCTGCTCCTACTGGAGCAGTAGCCCCATCTGCTCTACCCCTATTTACTCCCAGTGTATGTTGAGGTGGACCCACTTTGCTGCCAGGTTTGCAGAGGTTTATACACCTGGAAGGAATATATGCGTGGATGAATCCCTGATGAAGTATAAGGTAAGGCTGGGATTCAAGCAGTATATTCCTTCCAAGCGCTCCAGATTTGGTGTAAAGGTGTATAAACTCTGTAATAGCGAGACTGGGTATACTCAGGTCTTCCGGGTGTATGAGGGAAAGGATACCCACCTTGACCCTCCAGGTTGCCCAGAACATATGGGAACCAGTGGCAAGATTGTCTGGGACCTGATATTACCACTGATGAACAAAGGGTACCACTTGTATACAGACATTTTTTATACAAGTGTCCCTTCAAGCTACTGTTCAAGCTACTGTATTGTTTTGATACAGTAGCTTGCGGTACAATAAAAAAAGAACTGCGCAGGTTTCCCAGGACAACTTGCACGCACCAATCTATGAAGGGGAGAGACCTCAGCTCTGCGCCAAGAGGAGCTGTTGGCAGTTAAGTACAGAGACAAGAAGGATGTGTACCTTCTTACTACCATCCACACTGAGAGGACTGTGTGTGTGGCAGAGCTGAGAGCACAAGGAAGCCAGTGTGCATCAAAGCCTATAACCGGCATATGGGTGGGGTTGATCTGGCAGATCAGCTGCTGCAGCCCTACCTAATTATAATTATACAGAAGACAAGGGCCTGGTACAAAAAGGTTGCAATCTACTTAATGCAGATTGCAACCCACAACGCTTTTTTGTTGTTCAGAAAAGCAAACCCCGGAATGCAACAGAGGTGTTTTTTTTTACAGTTTCAGCTCCAGATCATTTTGAGGATTTTGTACCGTGATGCTCAAATGCTCAACGGGCGGTGATGGGAGAGAGAGTAGGGGCTACACAATTTATTTTTAAAATCCCCCCCCTTACTGCGGCAAAGCAGAATCCCCAAAAAAGATGCGGAGTCTGTTTTAAGAGGGGGCAGATAAAAGATACCGTATATTACTGTCCTGATTGCCCTGAGCAGCCTGGACTCTGCATTGGGGATTGCTTCAAACGATACCACACACTGGTCCATTTTTAGTAAAAATAAATAAATTTTTTCTTTAACATTGGTCTTCAGTGTTTTTGTATTTTGGTTACGTTTACCCTGTGTATGGGGGGCATGGGTGTACTCAGGAGGCCTTGCAGAAAACAACTTGGAGTGTATTCTTGCAATAACCAAAAGAGGCTCTGAAGATATGAAAGAAGATATGTCAAATTTGAAAAACACATGTCAGAAGTTTGGCATTTCACTCCCCAAACAACCCAACCCAACAAACCTATGCATATGTGGAATCACTGTACTCAGGAGATGTTGCTGAACAAATATTGGGGTGTTCTTTGGCAGTAACACCTAACAGGACCTGAGAGCATTCATGCCTAAAGTAGAATGTGTGTGAAAAATAACGACTACCCAAAAGTTTGACAAAGACTGGTGGTAGAATTAATGCTTGGAAAGTGTTAAAATACCACAATTTGAAATACCCTAGGGCAGGCATAGGCAACCGTTGGCACTTCAGATGCTTTGGACTACACCTCCCATGATGCTTTGCCAGCACTATGGGTGTCCGAGCATTATGGGGGATGTTGTCCAAAACATCTGGAGTCCCGAAGGTTGCCTATCCATGCCCTAGGGTGTCTACTTTTAAAAAATATATGGTTTGATGGGGGGTAAATTACATTGGCCGGCTTGTCCCTAATAGGATGTGTGTGCATGATGACCAGCTGTGAAAATTCCAATTTGGAAAACAGGAATGCGTAACCTCCAAATAAGGTTTTTTTTTTAGCCCACAGAGAACCTGACACACCTGTACATCTGTGGTATCACTGTACTCAGGAAATGTTGCTGAATACACATTGGAGTGCTCTTTGGCAGTAACCCTTAAAGTTATCAGTACACGTGTTCTTAAATTGCTATGTGTGTCAAAAAAATCACCTATTATTATTTTTTCTAAATTTGGCATAGATTGGTGGTAAAATGGTTGCATGAAAAGAGTCAAAATACCCAAAGCTCAATACCTTAGGTTGTCTTCTTTTAATAAATAATATATATACAAGTGAAGGGGTATTCCTGACAGATATCAGTGTTACAATTTTTGGAAATAGCAAAGTGCTACTTGTACTTATAGCCCTATAACTTTCCAAAAAAAACTAAGAACATGTTAACATTGGGTATTTATAAACTTAGGACAAAATTTAGAAACTATTTATCACAGGTGGTTTTTGGTGTTGTAGATGTGTAACAGATTTTGGGGGTCAGAGTTAGAAAAAGTGGGGTTTTTTTCCATATTTTATTAAAAACATTTATAGTAAATTATATGATATGATGAAAATAATGGTATCTTTAGAAAGATCATTTAATGGCGAGAAAAAAAGTATATAATATGTGTGGGTACTGTAAATGAGTAAGAGGAAAATTACAGCTAAACACAAACATTGCAGAAATGTAAAAAGAGCCCTGGTCCTTAACGGTAAGACAATTGAAAAATGGTCTGGTCACTAAGGAGTTAAATGGACACTCCACTGCTCAAATGGGGGGAAAAGTAATTCACTGTTAAGAATATATTCACGAGGAAATAATCAGAGGCTTTTCATTGAATTGGAGCTCTTCTACAGGCCCCGCACCGTTGCGTGTGCTTGTGCATGTGTGCACATCTTGTCTGAGGTCTGGAGGAGCTGGGCGAACTGGTCTGATGGCTGTGGGGGAGGAGGCAACTGCACTCAAGTAAAGCATGCCTGTCACTTCCATTAGCTTAGGGAGGCTCAAAGGTGCTCCATAGCTTATTTATAAAAGTGCAGATTTCACATAGAAAGATGCATGTTTATAAACTGGGGTTAAACTAGGATACTAATCATCCATGAAGCACTTTAGCAAGCATCATGATGATATCCTCTCGGTGAAGTCATTATGGTGTCTGAAGAATTCCCTGGATACCATCTTACTTTATGGTGTTAAACCATTTTTGAACAGTTTAAAACCAAAGTCCTCTTGATTGTGACCATCCTCTTACTTTTCTTGCACCAATGCTAAAGTCTTTGCCTGGTTATCTAGTGATAGGCTGAGTGCATTAGCTAACACTTTTAGCCTATGACTGGCTGTCCATTGCGTCCCTTTTTTTTTTTTTTTAATACTTTGTGTGATCGTCTTGTCATATGCACAGTATACAATGTACATTACATGTGGTGTACATTTCTATAAGGTTATCTGTGTTACATTCCATTTTCCTCTTAGCAATCTTTTACATTTCAGCTGATCAGGTTGTAAAGACACATCTCATTTTTGGTATTAATCAATAACATAAAACCCAAAACAGGTTAACCGTGTGTTACGATGTCGCTTACATTGTTGTAGGTAGCTATTTGTTTCCCCACTGGGACTGTGCTACCCATCCTGTATATTAGGACCCTGGATTGTCTTTGGGCCTTAGCGTATGCGTTTTTTACGGGCTTTATCTCCTAGTCCCCTCCAGGGGAAGGAAGGATAGAACCGAAGCATAGAAAAGAACTAGAAAGAAAGAGATATAGAGAAGTCATCAGGTCGGTAGGGTGTGGCGTCTCTCGGTATACTGCTGTGCGTTCCTAGTCTGTATAGTTCCCTTACTGGGTTCCACCCCAGAGAAGTGGGGTGGAGGGAAATGGAAGCTATTCGGTTTCCACCTTGTCTGTTCTGCTGAATGCTTTTGTCTATCTGGCTACCTCAGTCTGCCAGGTTGCTGTTAATCCATGGTTCCCCTTACCCGAGTTGTCAGGCTATTCATGAAGTAGACCTTTTATGTTAGTGAGTACTGAAGGCATATCTACCTTTAGCCACCATTGGGCTAATGCTCTCCTAGCTGCTAACATTACCTTGTGGATCAGTTTTTACTCCCTTTTCTTCCAGTCCTCTAGGGGGGTATTCAACAGGTATGTCCACGGGTTTAAGTCCGGTGTTCTATTGAAGATCCGAGATAGTATATCACGTATCTCCTTCCAGAAAGTTTGCACCCCGGGGCATTTCCACCACGTATGGAGGTACGTGCCTCTGAGGCCGCATCCTCTGCAGCATTCGTCAGTTGGTGTCTTTTTCATTTGACACAGTTTAACTGGGGTGGTATACCACCAGAACATCATTTTATATGACTGTTCTTTGAGAGACACACATATGGACAAAAAGATATTCGCTTCCTATATTTCCCGCCACTCTATGCCTTCCAGCTCCTCCCCCAGGTCTTTTTCCCAGTTTTTTTGTGTAGGTTAATGTGCCCCATTCTTCTGTTTCTGAACAAATGTATTTCTCAAAGAAAGACATTGGCCCTGTAGCTGCTTTTTGTATATGTGGGTGTTTCACATAATCTTTGAGTTGTATGTATCTAAAAAAGTCAGACGGAGTGAGGTTGGCTATCTGTTTCAGGTTGTCGAATGTGACTATTGTGTTGTTCTCAAACATATGTCAAATCCTCTGCAATCCCACCCTTTCTAAGTTTGTAAAGTCCCTAGCCGCTAGTCCAGGCGGGAAAGCTCTGTGTCTCAGCAGTGGGGTTAGTGGCGATGGGGATGACGCTAGTTTGTATTTGTGAGCTGAGGTGTCCCATATTCGAAGGGAGTTTAGGATCGCTGGGCAGGTTGCTCGTAGGATTGGCCTATTTTCCCTGGGTACCCACATGTGGTATTGGGGTAGGTCTGCTCCCGTCAAGAGACTCTAGATCCACCCATCTCCTCATTGCGTTCCTTTCTAAAGCATTTCTCTCAGTGGCCGGCCAGTTTATAGTTTGAGAGCATTATTAGCTGATGCTATCAGCCTATCACTGGAACAGTGGGAAAGGTTTTAACATTGGAGCACGAAGAGGAGGTGGATGGTTGCCACCAGACTTTGTGTCTGTTAAATGATTAACCCCGTAAGGTAAGTTGGTATTCAGGTCCTCTAGACCAGTGTTCCCCAACCCAGTCCTCATGGACCACAAACAGTCCAGGATTTTATCAGTACCTCCACTGGAATAAAACAGGGAAATGCATAAATCCTGGACTGTTGGTGGTCCATAGCGATTGGGTTGGGGAACACTGCTCTAGAAACCGTTCAGATTAAGTTGTTATGGTGCCTGAAGTGTCTCTTTAAGTCCAAGAATGCGCAGACTCTAGTCCTATCAGACCAGTTAAACAACATCTTGAGATCAGAATGTCCATGCTTTCTTCTTTCCCCGTGGAAATATTCCTTTTGACGATATCCCTGACTTTATTAAGCATGATATTGTTGAAATGTTGACCTATAAGGAATTATTTCTGTGGAATATGGAATATATCTAGATACTGCTCTAACCTGTGACACTGAAAATGAAAAAAGTTTTCAATATGACAGATTTTGAGTCATATCTGTGTTGTAGAATTATTAGGCCTCTATAAGTCTGTAAGGCCCCTTTAAATCCTCTTGCTATACCTCTAAGAGGCCCCCATAGTTTTACAAGAAAGCCTTGTCTATAGAACATAGAATTTGCATGTCAGCAAGAAATAGCTTTGATAAAATGTGTATTTACTAAAAGCCTTGAAACCTAGCCTTGAGAAACTAACAAGTGCCAGTTACGCTCTAAATGGATAGCTGCCAAAAGGCCCCTCCCGTCGAGTAAGCTCCTCATGTTAGCAAAATGGCGCTAAAACCTGGGGGAGAAAAGCATGACGTAGATAGTGACTTAAGATGGTACACCCCATAGGGAGGGCATTTTACTAACATCTTAGCACCTAAGCCAATTAACAATGTCTATTTGTCTATATCTTGATTTTCTTCAATGATGTAATAATGCCTTTATAAGGGTCTGCGCACCCATTTTCTGTCAGAAGCCATTAAACTTCTCCGAAGTTCTTTCATTAACCTGAACTTTGTGTCTCAGTGTGAATTTACTTCTGCGTGCACGCAACTTTATTATCTTTAATTTGGACAGGAACAGATAGTCATTCAAACTAATTGGTTTGCAGTAAATTATCTACAACAGCTGGCGCCATAACGTGGGGCTCTGGGCTATGTCCTGCCTGGGCAGCTGTCCAAGAAGATGCTGGGGGGTTGAATCCTGGGGGAAGGAAAAGAGCCTGATCACCTCTGAGTACACGGTAGAGATTGCTGCAGCACCTAGCCGGTATGTTCCTACCCCTGTGATTGACCTGTTCCAGTGTCTGTGACTGCTGCCGAGAGGACATCAAAGTCAGGTAATAACTTGCCCAGAGTCTTTGTATTGTTAATGATACCTAGTTTACCTGCATGTTGACTATCTGTTGCCTGGGTGTGTTTGTATTGGTATGTGTTTAACTTAGTACCCGGGGAGTGTAAGTGCCTGTTTAACTCCTTTTAGGTACCACGTGCCTGTGGTAGTAAGGAAAAAGGGGGGTGGACCTGTGGAAGTTTTCCTGGGGGTCCTCTATTGCCTGTTTAACTCTTTTAGGAGCCACGTGGCTGTGGCTGTAAGGAAAAAGAGTAGGGGGAATCTGTGGAGGATGATGTAGACTCATTGCTTCCTGGGGGTTCCCCAGAGTGTCATTTTGACCGCTTAGCTTCTTGGTAAAATTCCAGCCTCGAGCGCTGAGGCAGGTAAGATTCCAATTCTTTAGGCTATACAGGATTCGGGTTGGAAGCTGTTGCTGTTTCCTGTGGCTGCTGGTAGTGAGACTTGCGGGTGGGTCCGCAACAGGGACACTACGAGGTTGAGGGAGGTGGCTTTTGGCCACACGAGTAAAGGCAAGGGATAAAACTGTTGAACTTATTTGAACTGTGATGCATGCACTGTATTTACACTGAAATGTTATTGTCTTAATTGTCTGTCACACAGATTCCTGTGTTTACTTCTATCTTACTCACTGTACTACTTACACTTTCCCCTCCTAGTTCTCTTTCTCTGTTGAGAGAAGTGATTGGTCACACACTTCTCGCCACGCTCCAATCCGCGGCTACCACGGGTAGGCGGAATCAGTGACTAGTCTACGTTTTGGGAAGACGTACTTAAAGAGCTTGCTCTTAAAGTAGCAGTCGAGCACGGTAGACGTTCTGTTCCTTTCTCTCTCTATATCTGGGACGCCTTGTATAGGGAGGATGGGACAGAAGTTAGATAAACCCAGTAAGGGTTGGTTAGCATGTGATCTAGTGGAAGACAGAGAAGGAGAAGAGATGGTTAAGAAAGTGAGGAAGATTGCTAAAGTATGTGGAATTACCGTACCTCTGTGCGGCAGATTGTAGCCAGAGAGCTGGCGTAAGTTACTGACAGAGAAGAAAGAGAAGCTGTCGGACCAAGATTTGGTTTGTACAGCAGAAGCCTGATACCGAGTAGCAAGAGCTATTCAGCAAAAGGGATAGGTTGAGGAAGATATTGATCACAAAGGTTTAAGTTTGTTTGTGTATTATAATAATTGTGTTACTGGATGCTGATGGATCCCTATTCCCCCCCCCCCATCAGTCCTACAGATCTCGTCACCCTCATCCTCTCTCTGCAGCTCCCTGCACCTCCAGTCCGTTTCTCCCGTCAAAGATTTCTGGTTTCCAAACGTATAAGTCTCTGTCCTTCTGTCTTGTTACTTTCCAGCACTCACATGGTTAATCTTCATGCCTGCAGCTTCTCTCCCTTTTTTGCACTGTCTCACATCCCCCCCCTTTCCTCCCCACTTGCCTCCGAATGGGGGAGGTACATGCCTTCTGCATTTCGGAGCTGCTGATAAGAGTTAGAGACAGGATTTTTGCTGGAAAATATTCTAATTCAGAGGTTATGGTGTTATAGTTGTGTAATAATATTATTATTGTTGCCGTTTGTATATGTATATATATATGTATATGTGTGTATGTATAGATTGAGTTTTGTGATAAAGTAGTGAGGATTGTGGGGGAGACACAAGAATGTAGCTCAGTGTTGATTTACGGAGGTAAGTGAATCTGATACAAGAATAGTGGAATATTTGGACGTGTTAAGTGTATAGGCAAGCGTGATTTGTTGCAGAACTATGCAATGTGGATAGAGGGAATATGCGGAGTTAAGCTAGTATGTGAAGAGGAAAGTGATTAATGGTTTGAGGAAGATAAGGGAATTTGGTTGAATTCCACGAGTTTATCTTGCATCATTTTAAAGAACATGTTTCTAGAAGACAGCTGTATGGGCTGTTAAATGCATAATATTTTCAACTGTCTTATTTAACCTGCCAGGTCTGTTCATAGTTTAGTATTCCATTTTGCAGAACAGAATGTTGCTTCTCTGACTTATTTTAATAGTTTTAATATAGTGTATGGTTGAAAGTACGTCAACCACCACCCTAAAGATGGCGCCTGCCAGTCCCGTGACCTATCCACAGTCACGGTTGCTTCTAAAGTAACGTCACTTCCGCCCTTACCATGCCCACACCTCCTGTCTTCCTTTCCCACACATATCATGGACGTCACCCCTCTCACTTCCTCCCTTGCTGTCATTTCCTTCCCCGCCCCTGTCATGGCTGCCTCCATCATGAGGCCTACCCCTATTATGCTCGTCCCATTTAGAGACATGTTGTTTCCCTTACACTCTACATATTATGAACTGAAACATTATAATTACTAAAACAATCATGCCATTTGTTTCCCTGTATCAGAAATTTGTCCGTGATAAAAAAAAAAAAAAAGAAGGTTGCTAAAATGTAATTTGCAAATGTGGTGTGACCTACAAATGAGATCTGTTGGACACGAATATAAGAGCATAACAGCTGATTATCCAGATTAATCTTGCAACAAGGGAAATAGCCAAATAATGCAAGTTATTTTAAACATTGTATCTTTACTTAATCGAATCTTGCTAGTTACAGATCGTATGTTTACAGTAACATCCTTTACGTTAAATGATGGTTTAGCATTAGAAGGGTTTGTGACATGTTTTATTAACCCAGCCACTACTGGTTATTCATTTTAGTTACAGGGTGGTATAATTGTTATAGTCTAATTAATATAAATGATAGTACCGCAATAGTTAATGTTTTATCCAAAGACATTTAGGAACTTTACTTAACTTACTATTAACCATTATTTATAATGATAGACATGTTCAGACTGCAAAAAGCTATGGCTAATGACATAGAAAGGGGTTTGAGTCAGTAACACAGCCCATACAGAGGAGAGCAAACCCGCTGATGCTTAATGCCCCTGCCATGGCAGTGTCTACAGGGAACAAGGGGGGCCACTAGCCACTGTAACTTTACCTATTGAAGGTCACCCTACTACTTTCCTGGTTTCCTGGTTAACACAGGTGCATCCCGCAGTGTTCCTAGAGAACAAGACCTGCCTGACTCATCGTTACTGCCTGACACCAATGTCTCTTGTGTTGGTGCTGATGTCCTATCCCGCCTCCAAGCATCCATCACCCTCACTGCAGACGGCCAGGTTCAATTAAATACGCCTTTGCCACGAAAAGACACTACAGTTCTTTGTTCCCTTCCCATTTTACTGTGGAGATGATCTACCCACAACAGAACAATGCTCAATTAATCTTCTTTACTATGTAGCAGAACAAGGATGTGAAGCTTCACGTCTCAAGCTGCAATTCTGCCAACCTACTGTTATCTTCCTTGGCCATTGTCTGTCTCAGGGAACCAGACATCTTACCCGTGACCGAGTTAGAGCGGTACTGGACATTCCACCTCCAAGGACCTCGAAGTCACTACACGCCTTCCTAGGCCTTGTTTCCTATTGCCGAGCATGGATCCCAGAAGCCTCGCTCCTTATGCAACCTCTTTATGATGCTCTCAAGTCAGACCCATTTTGCTTGTCTACAGAAGCCCTTGACAACTTCTGTTCACTCAAACGTGCTATTGCTTCTGCTCCTGCTCTTGGCCTACCAGACTATACCAAACCCTTCAAATTGTTTGTTTCTGAAAGACAAGGCCATGCAACAGGAGTACTCACTCAGGCCCATGGTCCTGGAGGCCGCCAAAGGCCTATTGGATTTTTCTCCTGCCAACTGGATATTGTGGCCAGAGGACGTCCCTCTTGCCTTCGGGCCGTCTTTGCTGCCAGAGAGCTCATTGAAAGAACTGGGGATCTTGTCCTTGGCCACCCCCTGGTTGTCTTGGCCCCTCATGATATTTCTGCCATAGTCAACCAGGTCCTACTTAAGCATGTTACTCCTGCTAGGCATCTTCGCCTTCAATGTCACCTTTTGTTGCCTGACAACATTACCCTTCAAAGATGTCAAGTTCTCAATCCGTCCACTCTTCTGCCACTCCCTGAGGGGGGTGTATACTACGGATTCATCATGGACGAAACTTATGTTTTTCTTCTCACTGGCACCATCAAGAAGGAAATGCATCCCAACCTATCCTTTCATGATGGACAAGCACTCCTTCATGACGGAGCAAGACATGCCTTCTGTACCATGTGGTACAAACCAAACATCACTCCTGAACCCTGCTATGAAGATGAACTCTATAATCTGGTCGAAGTAAAACTCACTGCACAAGACTTCTACTGTGATTCTGAAGGCAACAGTATGGTCTTGATTCATCTACCTCCGGAACTCAAGCATTTGTACCGTCATTGGGACACTGCTATTCCACATGTCCCTGTGACCAAGTTGAAAACAATATCATGGAATGATCTTGGGCCTATGGCAAAAGCATGGGCCACTATGGACGAATCACAGCTACAGGAAAATGGTGTTGTCAAATATCCAACAACTGACCACCTAAAAGCATGGCCACGTCATTTCCTGGAAAATAAGTTCCAAGATTTAACCATAATGAATGAATACGACCCAGATACACCTCATGACTGTTTTGAACAGATGAAAATGGAAACAACACATCTACCAACTGTGCATGAAGACCCATTGGTAGATCCCGATCTCACCCTGTTTGTGGACGGCTCAAGATATGCTGATGAAGAAGGAAGATACCATACAGGATATGCCGTAACCACAACAGATGAAATTGTCAAATCATCATCTTTACCATCAACTATGTCTGCACAAGAAGCTGAATTGCAAGCCCTGACTTCAGCATGCAAGATCTCTGAAGGAAAGCGCGCCAATATCTACACGGATTCAAGATATGCACTGGGCGTGGCTCACGACTTCGGATTAATTTGGAAAACAAGAGGATTTCTTACCACCACCGGTACACCAATCAAGCACGGTTCCGCAATCAAGGAGCTGATGGACGCCCTCCTACTCCCAGAAGAAGTGGCTATTTTGAAGATAAAAGCACATGGGAAGTTGGACTCAGATGAAGCAAAGGGCAACCATCTAGCTGATCAGGCTGCAAAACAAGCTGCAAAAGAACCACAGGAAGTGGAAAGAAGAGTGTCCGGAAATGAAGAAACTCCCATATTTACTCTGCAGACTCTTCCAACTGACCTGAAAATCCTGCGGGAACAACAGGCTACAGTTGCCCCTGAAGAAATACAGAAGTGGAAACAGAAAGGGGCAGTTCTGAAGGATGGAGTGTACTCCAACAACCTCAATTTCTGCCTCCCTAAGAATTTGTACCCAGCAGTCGTACAATGGGCACACGGACCTGCACATTTATCAAAGGATCTAATGAATGCTCTTGTACAAAAATACTACCTCACTGTCCCCATATGAGATTCTATTTGGGACTGCACCTAGGCTAGGTTGCTATTTTCCCCAGCAATTACAACTTCATACTGATGTTTTAGTAAACTATGTAACTGAACTCGCAAATGCTTTGAACAAAATCCATGCCCAAGTTTTCTCTTCAATTCCAGATCCTGATTCTGACACAGGCAACCACAGTCTGCTCCCCGGTGACTGGGTTCTGGTCAAGAAATTTGTGCGAAAACACACCCTGGAACCAAGATTTGACGGACCGTTCCAAGTTCTCCTGATCTCCCCTACCTCTGTCAAATTGGCCGGAAGGCCTAACTGGATCCACGCTTCCCATTGCAAGAAGACACCTGCCCCAGAGGAAGCTAACTCTATGCAACCATGTGCCTCTGGTACATTATCTCCTTAGTTGGCCTCCTTAAAGCCCAGCAGGTGGCCATCACCAAAGATGCTAGTGGGTACACTTTCTGGTATAATTCATCATGTACCCATGTGGCTACATTCACTTTTGATTACTGTGATATTGTAGAATGCCCATTCCCTAAGTCACAGATTCAAGCCATTTATAAAGATATCCCACAAGCAAAAGACCCTTACGTTTGTGTAGTAGATGAACAATGGGGTTATGACTGTAACTACTGGGGGGCTGCGGGATGGAATACTGGGCCTGCCTGGGGTTATAAACCCAAAAGTGCTTTATCTAAGATAAACAATCAGGGTAGATCCCTCCTTCAAAGAATGACTTTAAGAAAGCCTGGAGGAAGTACCCCTATGAAATTAATGTTAAATATTGAACATCCTGGCCCCGAGGATGCAGACCGATATGTAATGGGAATGTATTGGAAGGTTCCTAAAACAAATTAGGTCATTTCTACCTCAGAGATATGTACCACTCTCCAGAGTGGCAAGGGGCTGATCATATGGTCCCAAATCCGCTAAAACCACATATCCAGTCCTTTAAAGATATGATGACCATCGCTAAACCCACTTTTGAAGATACCATGGCCGCTGAAACTGGATTCAATGACATTAATTTGTGGTTAGAATGGATGAGGTATAATGCCAACAAACATAATAAAACAGCATGTTATGTATGTGGCGGTGCCCGACCCCACCTTGGCACCGTCCCCCTAACTCTCCCTTTAGAGATAGAAGATTGCTTCTTAAGCCTTTTTGCCTACCAATATGACTTTAATAGGTCCCTCTGCATGGCATGGACGGCAGAATACCCTCTCTTAGTTGAAAATGTTAAGCCACCAGATGGAATCACAGTCTATAGAGGTAATTACACTTGTTATGCCATGTATGACGGGATTGGTAAATTCATGGGTAACTTTTCTAAAGGTTATTGCGCCACTTACAGAACTGTTCCTATACGCCTGTTGCAACACCATACCAGGTCATTGGGGGATATTTACTGGTTATGTGGGGTTCTACAGTTAAGATCTAGGCTGGAAACTGAGTGGTAGGGTGAGTGTACCCTGGCCAAAGTTATCATGCCCATTCATATTATTTCTGATAATCATCATGACACATACGACCCTCCACATACACCAGCCAGAGTAAGGTGCGAAACCCCAGTAAAAGGCAGTTTTGACCCCCACATTTACATAGATGCCATTGGGGTGCCTAGGGGGGTGCCTAATGAATTTAAAGCTAGAGATGAAGTAGCTGCAGGTTTTGAATCACTTTTTACCATAGTCACTGCCAACAAAAACCTTAATTGGATTAATTATATCTATTACAACCAACAGCGCTTCGTGAACTACACCAGGGATGCCCTCCAGGGCTTGGCCGAGCAATTACAGGCCACATCCCAAATGACCTTCCAGAACAGACTGGCCTTAGACATGATCTTAGCCGAAAAAGGGGGAGTCTGTAAAATACTTCCCGACACTATGACTTGTTGCACTTACATTCCAGAAAACACAGGTCCTAATGGTAAAGTCACTCTGGCCATAGCTAAATTAAATAGACTCTCAGAAGAGTTAAAGAGAAACTCTGGAGTTACTGATCCCTGGGAAAAATGGTTTGGTTGGATGACTGGTTGGCAGAGAGCTTTAGTCCAGATTGGTATTGCCTTACTAATTTTTCTTTTTATTCTCGCTCTTCTCATTTGTTGTGTCCTCCCATGCCTAAGGAAATTCCTGCAGAAAACTGTAGACCAAGCAACACCAACCTTCACTCATCTGACAATCGATGATCAAGACCTCATCTCACCCTGTATTCCGCTACAAACTCTCCCTTATACTGATGAAGTGCAGAAAGTCTAGGAAGGGACAGTACAGGGACAGCGTCCGTCTTTATGGGTAGACTGCCGTACGGAGAAGTAGTGGATAAGCCACTATGGGTTACCAGCGGAGTGAAGAGTGTTCCTGAACCGTACTGACGGATGTGCTGCAGCCTGTTAGGGTCAAGAGAGGGATAGACTTGCACTTTGCATTAACACTAAGTCAGCGGTCATGGGGTTTCTGTGTCTTTGGGCTAACACATCTTCTGATACTAACAAATAAAGTTTTGTCTTTTAGCAAATAACATTTTAGGGGGGACTGTTGTAGAATTATTAGGCCTCTATAAGTCTGTAAGGCCCCTTTAAATCCTCTTGCTATACCTCTAAGAGGCCCCCATAGTTTTACAAGAAAGCCTTGTCTATAGAACATAGAATTTGCATGTCAGCAAGAAATAGCTTTGATAAAATGTGTATTTACTAAAAGCCTTGAAACCTAGCCTTGAGAAACTAACAAGTGCCAGTTACGCTCTAAATGGATAGCTGCCAAAAGGCCCCTCCCGTCGAGTAAGCTCCTCATGTTAGCAAAATGGCGCTAAAACCTGGGGGAGAAAAGCATGACGTAGATAGTGACTTAAGATGGTACACCCCATAGGGAGGGCATTTTACTAACATCTTAGCACCTAAGCCAATTAACAATGTCTATTTGTCTATATCTTGATTTTCTTCAATGATGTAATAATGCCTTTAAAAGGGTCTGCGCACCCATTTTCTGTCAGAAGCCATTAAACTTCTCCGAAGTTCTTTCATTAACCTGAACTTTGTGTCTCAGTGTGAATTTACTTCTGCGTGCACGCAACTTTATTATCTTTAATTTGGACAGGAACAGATAGTCATTCAAACTAATTGGTTTGCAGTAAATTATCTACAACATCTGTCTCTGCCTGACCTCAATGTAATTTTGGTATTTTTGCGATCTAGTAATAATTATATTAAGTTTTTTTTTAATAGTAATAATACAATCTTAACTGTCAAAGAAATAACTATGTAAATATCACAGAAACGTCTTTGTAAATATAACCCTGTTGTTTATATGTTCAGGAATACGAGCATCAGTGCAGTGCTGAAGCCACGTTTGTGAAAGAATTAGATCAATGTGAAATGATCCTACAGGCTCTGGAGTATGAGGAACTGGAGAAGAGACCAGGAAGATTGCAGGACTTTTATAACTCAACAGCAGGTCAGTAATGGTTTCCATTCACAGTACATAGGAGAGGGATTTGTCTTGTGAATTGTCATATTATGCACTGATATTTGACCATACATATAGTAATAAAAGTTCCCCATGGTGCCGTGACATTAATTGCTCTAAATGAGACAAGTTACCAAATTCCTAAATGTCAAGTTATTTTTGTTGTAAAAGATAACATCTTATTCCAGGTCAGGAAGTGGAGATTGAAAATCATTTGTGGTATTAATAACTAATAACAAGGAATAATGAAGTATTGCCAACTGCTAAAAGTTTAGACAAGATATGCAAATTCATGTATAAATGGTTTATTTTCATGTCATGATATAACATGAAACCTAAACAATGCAATATCTGCTTGTATGTATTTTGGGTGAGTAAATGTATAGGCATCTAGCATAGATTCATATCTGATGGTTCTTTATAGTAGATCCTCAAAATGTTTGGATGCCCTGTCCAACTTTAGGTCACTTTGCTTCATTTGCATTTTGCTATATTAGTATTTGTTATAGCAGGAAGAGAGAAAATATTTCAAAAATCATAGTAGACATTCCTTTACATGTTAATTCTCTCAGTTGATAACAAACGGATGCAAGCAAATCATTTTATAATTCTATTTTGATTTACACATTTTTTAGCATGTCATAACAGCAAATCTGAAATCAAATCAGTGCTATTTACAATATGCTTTTTAAATAGGTTATGGTGCAAGGAAGTGCCCTCTCTCTGCTACATGGCATGCACATGTTATAAAAATCCCCATCTATACCAACAGGCTCCCTTACTGCTTACCTTAATATATTTGAGTCACAAATACATGCTCACAATACTGTAAATGGAATTGATGGAAGTGCTAAATTACAAAATCAGCTCTATTGAAATTATGAGGCTAACATAATTATCTTGGCTTTTGTTTTGGTTACACTTCCACTGCAGAATCTTGAAATTTTGCAACACATTTTTTTCCATAATTACAGTATGTTTTGTTGTTTTTTAAAGTGCCTTGATATTATTATTATTATTATTATTATTATTATTATTATGATATTTATAGAGCGCCGTCAAATTCCGCAGCGCTTTACAATGGGTGGACGAACAGACATGTAGTTGTAACCAGACAAGTTGGACACACAGGAACAGAGTGGTTGAGGGCCCTGCTCAATGAGCTTACATGCAGAGGGAGTGGGGTAAAATGACACAAAAAGGTAAGGGTAGTATTAGACTAGTGACAGTTGCAGAAGAGGAATAAGTCAAGAGGTATTAACAGTTTAATTGAAACGCTTTTAAGAAGTGGGTTTTTAACGATTTTTTGAAGGAGTGGAGACTGGGTGAGCATCTAACGGAGGAGGGAAGCGAGTTCCACAGGAACAGTGCAGCCCTCGAGAAATCTTGAAGGTGAGCATCAGAGGTGGGAGTACGGACAGAAGATAGACGTAAGTCTTCAGCAGATCGTAAGGGCCTAGACGGGACATACTTGTGTATAAGGGAGGATAGATAGGTGGGAGCAGCATTATGTAGAGATTTGAAAGCAAGAACCATAATTTTAAATTGAGCTCTCTATTTTATAGGAAGCCAATGTAGGGACTAACAGAAGGGAAAGGCATGGGAGGTGCGGGCGGACAGGAAGATGAGCCTCGCCGCCGCATTCATTATGGACTGTAACGGCGCTAGTTGGGAGCACGTAAGACCAATGAGAAGCAGATTACAGTAGTCAAGGCGAGAAAGGACAGTAGAATGGACCACCTTAGTCGCATCTGGCGTTAAGTAGGGGCGGATGCGCGCAATATTTTTGAGATGGAAATGACAGGATTTGGTGATTGAACATGAGGCTTGAAGGAGAGGTCGGAGTCAAAGAGAACACCTAGGCAGCGAGCCTGCGTGGTGGAGCTCATGGTAGCTCCGTTGACTTGGAGGGAGACAGACACAGGAGTAACAACATTTGAGGGAGGAAAGACCAGAATTTCAGTTTTGGTCAAGTTTAGTTTAAGGAAGTGGGCAGCCATCCAGTTAGAAACAGCAGAGAGGCAGTCAGAGACACTAGTCAAGAGGGACGGGGAGAGATCAGGAGAGGACAGGTAGATTTGCATGTCATCTGCATAGAAATGATATTGGAAGCCAAAGGAGCTAATGAGTTTACCAAGGGAGGCAGTATAGATGGAGAACAGTAGGGGACCAAGGACTGAACCTTGGGGAACACCAACAGAGAGGAGTTGGGGAGAAGAAGCAGAGCCAGAGAAAGAAACACTGAAAGAGTGCTGGGAGAGGTTGGAGGAGCACCAGGAGAGAGCAATATCTTGTAGACCGATATTGCGGAGGATGAGAAGAAGCTGTTGATGATCAGCAGACAGGTCAAGGAGAATTAGGATAGAGTAGTGACCACGAGATTTTGCAGCGAGTAGATCATTGGATACTTTGGTCAGTGCCGTTTCCACAGAGTGCTCAGCGCGGAAACCAGACTGAAGCGGGTCTAGTAGAGAGTTGGACTCGAAGTCTGTCAATCTTGCATACATCATTTTTTCAAGGATCTTGGATGCAAAAGGCAGTAGCAAGATAGGACGATAGTTGGATGGGGAGTTAGGGTTAAGATTGGGCTTCTTTAGAATTGGGGTTACAGTTGCATGTTTGAAGGGCAATGGAAATATACCAGAGGAGAGAGAGATTGAGAATTTTAGTGAGAGGTGGAGAAAGAGAAGAAGACAGAGTACGGATGAGATGTGAGGGAATTGGATCTAAGTAGCAGGTGGTGGGGTGGGAGGACTGGAGCAGAGCAGAAACCTCTTCCAATGTAGCAGTTGCGAATGAACATAGAACAGCAGAGGGAGTGATGTAAGGGGAAGAAGAAAAATGAGAGATCTCTTCTCTGATTGTAGAGATCTTGTCAGTGAAGTGAGTTGCAAAGTCTGAGGCGGTCAAGTTAGTAGGTGGAGGAGGAACAGCAGGGCGAAGAAGAGTTAAATGTGTGAAATAGTCGTTTGGGTTCGCGGGAGAGTGTGGTTATGAGGGTATTGAAGTAACTTTTGCAGAGGAAAGAGCCAAGCTGTATGAGCTCAGCATAAATTTATAGTGGAGAAAGTCCGATGCACAGTGAGACTTTCTCCAACAGCATTCAGCAGTTCTGGAGCATTTTTGGAGGTATCGAATGAGCTTGGTGTGCCAGGGTTGTTGTTGGGGGCGCCTGCGGCGTTCAAATGTACAAGGTGCCATGATGTTTAGTTGAGAGGAGAGGGTGGAATTGTAGAAGGAGGTTGCAGAACAAGGACAGGTGAGGTTTGAGATAGGTAAAAGGAGAGTTTGGAGATTAGTGAAGGAAATACTCTAGGTCAAGACATTGGAGGTTTCTGTGAGAGTGAGGTTCAGACGGTGTTGTCAATTGGGTCTTAGGTATGCTAGTGTCAAAAGTCAGCAGATGGTGGTCAGATAGAGGAAAAGGAATATTGGAGAGATTAGAGGCAGTACAGAGGTTGGTGAAGGCAAGATCAAGAGTGTTTCCCACTGTATGGGTTGCTAGATTGGACCATTGCGTAAGGCCAAAGGAGGAGGTTACAGAGAGCAGACGAGAGGCATCATGCAATTGGGTTTATTTATTGGGATATTGAAATACACAAGTATAAGGGAAGGAGTGCAAGATGAGAGGAAGTGGGGAAGCCAGGAAGAAAAGTGCTCAATGAATAGTCTAGGATAACCAAGGGGGCGGTAGATTATAGCAATTCTTAAAGGAGTGGATTTAAGTAGGCGGACAGTGTGAACTTCAAAAAAAGGATAGGGCAGGGGGAGTTATGATTGGTTGAAAGGTACATTGAGGGGAGAGAAGGATGCCTACGCCGCCTCCTTTACAGTTGAGTCTGGGAGTGTGAGTCTGAGAGAATTGTAGCCCACCAAAACATAAAGAGGCAGGAGTAGCGCTATCAGAGGGGGACAGCCAGGTCTCTGTAAGTGCAAGCAGTGTGAGCGAGTTTGAGATGAAAAAGTCGTGTATGGTTGTTGATTTTAAATTACTGCAGATGGAGCGGGCATTCCAGAGTGCACAATTAAAGCGGCACTGTCATGCCGAATCCCGTTTTTTTTTTTAACCCCCCTCCCGCCTCCACTACATCCAATTGACTCCCTAGTCACCCCCAAATGCCCCTAAGCCCCCCACATTACCTATTTTTTAATCCTTATTTTCTGCCCCAATCTATATTCAGGGCGCCGCCATCTTTGTGTGGGTAGATGAAGTCCCTGTGGGACACGTCATCTGCCCACACTAGACAGACTGTGAGATTCCCGCACATGCCCAGTGAAACACCTGGACATGCGAACGGGAATTTCATCTATTCATTCATTCATCCATCAGACAGACGAATGAATGAATAGAAATGTCAAACGAACAAACTAACACAATGTATCAGTGTTAGTTTGTTCGTTCAGTTTATTACAAGGAGGGAGCTACCGGCACGCAGCTCCCTCCTTGTAATATGTAACTATAGAAGCGGCAGGGAGCAGTGGGGGCTCTTACAAAACAATAGGGGTGGGGGGACCTACTGTCCTCCCCCCCTGGCCCCCACCCCTGCGCGGTGGGTGGGGGCCCTAATAAAACAATAATTGGGGGGGACCTACTATCCTCCCCCCTAGCCCCCACCCCTGAGCGGTGGGTGGGGGCCCTAAATAAAGATATGGGGGGGAACTTCTGTCCTGCCCCGGCCCCCACCCCTGAGCGGTGGGTGGGGGCCCTTATAAAACAATAAGGGGGGGGACCTACTGTCCTCCCCCCCTGGCCCCCACCCCTGCGCGGTATGGGGGCCCTAATAAAACAATACAGGGGCCTACTGTCCTCCCCCAGACCCCACCCCTGAGCGGTGGTGGGGGGCCTAAATAAGGTATGGGGGAACTTCTGGCCCCACCCTGTCGCGGTGGGTGGGGGCCCTAATAGAAGCTGTGGGGGGGGACTACTGTCCTCCTCCCCGGCCCCACCCCTCTTGTGATTGGGTGGGGCTAATAAAAGCTATTAAGGGGGGACCTGCACAGTGTCCTCCCCTGGCCCCCCCCCACCCCTGCGATTGGGTGGGGCCCTAATAAAACAATAGGGGGACCCATGCACTCCCCTGGCCCCCACCCCTAGTAGTTGGTGGGGGCCCCTAAATGAAACACACACACCACCCCAATCAAGGTGACTGGGGTCCCAAGCCCTAGTCACCCCACCCAAAAACTATCCCCAACCTACCTCACCCTAAAATAGTGAAGGGAAATAACAAACCTGTAAACAAAAAAATTAAACTTACCATTTGACGTCTTCTTTTTTCTAAAATCTTCTTTCTTCGGCCCCCAAAAAGGCCAAATAAAAATCCATCATAACCGTCGCACTTTAAAAAAAAAAAAACGAGCGCAAAAATAAATAAATCCATGTTCGCCCTTCGAGGGCACGCCGCGTACTGAGCTCCGAAGGGCGGGTCAAGGCTTATAAAGCTGTGCCCCGCCCTGAATTAGGCTTAGAACACTCTGATTGGTGGGTTTAAGCCAATCAGAGTGCTCTGTGTCATTTTACACAGCGTGGGAGAGTTCTTTTGAATTTTCCCACGCTGTGTAAAATGACTCATAACACTCTGGTGTATTAAGTAACCAATCAGAGTGCTCTGAGTCATTTTACACAGCGTGGGAAAATTCAAAAGAACTTTCCCATGCTGTGTAAAATGACACAGAGCACTCTGATTGGGTGGCTTTCAAGCGTGGGGCCAGGGGGGGAGGACAGTAGGTCCCCCCCCCTTATTGTTTTATTAGGGCCCCCACCCACCGCGCAGGGGTGGGGGCCGGGGGGGGACAGAAGTAACAAACCTGTAAACAAAAAAATTAAACTTACCATTTGACGTCTTCTTTTTTCTAAAATCTTCTTTCTTCGGCCCCCAAAAAGGCCAAATAAAAATCCATCATAACCGTCGCACTTTAAAAAAAAAAAAAACGAGCGCAAAAATAAATAAATCCATGTTCGCCCTTCGAGGGCACGCCGCGTACTGAGCTCCGAAGGGCGGGTCAAGGCTTATAAAGCTGTGCCCCGCCCTGAATTAGGCTTAGAACACTCTGATTGGTGGGTTTAAGCCAATCAGAGTGCTCTGTGTCATTTTACACAGCGTGGGAGAGTTCTTTGAATTTTCCCACGCTTGTGTAAAATGACCATAACACTCTGGTGTAGTAATTAATAGAGCTTGAAGTCATTTATACACGGGAAAATCAAAAGAACTTTCCCATGCTGTGTAAAATGACACAGAGCACTCTGATTGGTGGCTTTCAAGCGTGGGGCCAGGGGGGGAGGACAGTAGGTCCCCCCCCCTTATTGTTTTATTAGGGCCCCCACCCACCGCGCAGGGGTGGGGGCCGGGGGGGGACAGAAGTTCCCCCCCATATCTTTATTTAGGGCCCCCACCCACCGCTCAGGGGTGGGGGCTAGGGGGGAGGATAGTAGGTCCCCCCCAATTATTGTTTTATTAGGGCCCCCACCCACCGCGCAGGGGTGGGGGCCGGGGGGGGACAGAAGTTCCCCCCCATATCTTTATTTAGGGCCCCCACCCACCGCTCAGGGGTGGGGGCCAGTAGGTCCCCCCCATCTTTATTTAGGGCCCCCACGGGCATGGGGGGGGGGTATTAGTTTTTTTTTGTTTGTTTGTTTGTTTTTTACAGTGAGCAGCTATAAGCTGCTCACTGCTTACTACACATGCCCCTACTCGCGGTATAGCGAGTAGGGGCATATTATTTACTAATACTAAGTAATTTTTACTTAGTATTAGTAAAGTTGGCTGAAAGACCAATTTAGGTCTTTCAGCCTTTTAGTAGATAGCTCCCTGATACCGTGGGAATTAGGGAGTTATCTACTAAGCGGCTGCAAGATGCAGCCACAGCAAGAATAGGATCGGAGTTTCATTCATTAGAATTAAATTCCGATCCGAATAAAGTGCCGAATTGTGTTCTAAAAGAAACGAACATACTGTTCTCATTCAGTTAGAACGCAATTTGGCAGTTTTAGCCAAAATGACAGGAAGCATTGTGGGAACACAAAGGGAAGGTGAGAATCATGGGAAAATTGCTCTGACCAGCGGAAATGAAGCACACTTTGCTCCTCCGCTGGTCAGAGCTGGTCAAGCGGAGGAATCCTCCATAAGGCAAAGAGTCCCTACTTTGTCTTATGATTTTAAAGAAAACTAAAGAAGACAGGAAGAAAAGAATAACAGATCCTGAGAGAGGGGGAGAAGAGGAAGAGATTGAGGAAAGGTAAGTTTGGCATGACAGTGCCGCTTTAATTTTGGTAAGTGAGGGTAAAGGGCAGGGTATTGTGATGAGGTTTGTGGGGTTTCTGGTTGTCTTAGTGTGTGTAGAGAAGGTGAAGGGCCCTGGATTGGGAGAGACATCACCAGCTGCTAGAAGTAGGAGGAGAGAAAGTGACAGGAGGTGTGAATGGGTTTTGTATGCATGGGGTCTCGGATGAGATCGATTGTGGGTTGGAGTGAGAGAGTAGAAAAATGAGTGTAAGGCATGAGATGAGAGAAGGCGGTAGTGTAGCAGAGAAGGGCATATGTAAATGTGGATGGGGGATGAGTGAAGTGGGTGTAAGGAGAGATTTTTATACTGAGGGAGACTGAGGAAATAAAGAGGAGGAGAAAACAGATCATTGCTAAACTGTGAAAAATAAAAATTGGAGATAATTGGAATATCAAGAGCAGGTGAAGGTGTTTTATGGGTTAAGAAAGTGCAGGAGTGTACTAATAAGAGGCAGATTTTTTTAACCTAACTAAAATGTAGGTGTGACAGACAATCTATAAATGTAATAATGAGCATGGGGTGGGATGGTGTGGGGAGGGTGGGCATCAGGCTTGCTCACAGAAGGAATGGGCTTGCAAAGTTAGGGAATCAGGCTGTTGAATAGAGAGAGCTTGCAATAAAGGTAAGGGTATTCATAAAGTATACCGGTACACACCTTGTTTAAATGAAAGTGCATTATCATCATCTTTACATTTGTAGCAGAAATTATTTCAAATGTGTATATTTTACATTTTGATTCTCTTCAGAAATTTGGCCTCTTCCCTAACCTGTCGATCATCTCTTGGCATTGACATCACTATCAACAAAAAGTACAATTGCGGTTAGAAATCTAGACTAAAGTATTGGAGTAATATCCATAAGCTTGGAGTCAATCACATGTTCTGATCCAGGAGAAATATTCAGTTCATACCAGCCAAAAAAAGTTTGGCTCAAACCAGCTATTAAGGAGAAATAAAGTACATTTATTTCTTGATTAAAACCTTTTGACCGGGACACAGCATGTTTCACATGCTTGCAGAGGGATTATAAGACATTCTGATGCAGATAAGCTGCCAGTGGAGCAAGCGTAATCACAGTGGAGGGTTGCCATGCTTGTAGCAAAGGACTGGGTGTTACAGAAGTTTAATATGAGAATGCCAGCATTTAAGCGAGGGGGAGCAGGTAAGTACAACTTTAGAAGCTCCCAGTGCAACAATATACATGTTTTATCACTATAATAAAAAAAATATATTTACTGCCTTGGGAGCTGCTACAGCTTAAAGGAACACTCTGGGCACCATAACAACTTCATTGAAATTAAGCTGTTATGATGCCTGGAGGCCCCTGGCGCAAACTCATATTTTGGGGTTTAACTGTTCAGGAGAGCGAATCAGTAGCTTCACATGCATTAAAAAAAAAAAGGCATAGGAGCTACTGATTGGTTTAGAACGTCAGCGTATCCACTTTTTAACAATCAGCGGTGCGAGGATTTCAGTAAACAGAAGGATAGTGGGCAGAACAATCTGGCACTGAAACATAGATTCTGGGGTTAAAATGTTGGTGAAAGGCTCGTAAAAGTTTGTGAACCGTTTAACCCCTTAAGGTAACCTTCTGACACCATAACAGCAATATTTTGATTAAGTTGTTATGGTGCACAAACTTTAAGGTGAACATGTTGTGACAAGTTCACTTTAGTCAAAGGGCTCACCATAGCCTAAAATGTTTTTAAGGTTGTTTACCTGTTTACCACATAGCTTATATTTATCTGATGAATTATTTAAATATTTTATCAAACAAAGTATTACAGATCACTTTTTTTTTCCCCCCCAGGAAAATTTAAACATCCAGAAATTGTTCAGCTTGTTTCGGCGATCTATGAAGAGAGAGACTCCAATATAGCATCACAAAGTACTGGTCCTCCTCCTTAAATTGTTGTTGATTAAAAATAAAATATTTATATATTTTATATCTGTATCTCATTTGTAAATCCACAGTACTTTTCACAATAGGCTTTTTTTTCATAACATTGAACATATTGTGAATATATACATCAGTGTAAGCAATACAGTTTGTTCATATTACCTTTAATATATGCCTACTGTTTGAAAATACATGCATACATACATTTTTAACCATCACACAGAACAGTTAAATAATCTAAAGGCTTAAAGGACCACTCCACACTTGAAAAAGCACCAAACAAAAAAACAGTTTATGAATATATGCATGCACATTTTTATGTGTGTGTTCATTGGAAGTATAGTCTAAAACAGCTAGCAAAAGCTGCAGTTCTTATGACTGCAACCTTTGTAAGCCCTGCTCCTTCTTATTTTTCACCATAAGTGGCTATCACTTCATGGAGAATTGTCCATTCCGAGGCTTTTTTTGATCGTCAATATTTTAGTTTTTGGGTGTTTAGTACGTACTGTCTATGAGCTGCCGTGACATACATATTCATCCATTTCCCCTTACCATCCCCTGAGTGAAAGCGGCGATCCGACATGCCATCTCCCCCACCCCTCAACACACTTCTATCATATTAGCCCCCTCCCCCCCAGTATGACTTGGCTGTCTTGGACTAAGCTGGCCAAGTGGTTGGTCCCGGTAAGGTAAAATCCGCCGGTGGTGTAATGGAGAGTTCGTGGAGGAATTTCATCATGTCGTTCCCTGGTAGGTAGTTAGGTATACGTTCTTCCCACCTTAAAGTCCACTATTTTAAATGGGTGTCCCCAGGTAAACCGGATCCCTTTGTGGTGCAGTACATCTGCCATCGGTTTCCAGTCGCGTCTGCGTTGTAAGGTGCCTGGAGAGAGATCTTGGTACAGAGCGCTCTTGGTACCTTGATATGTGAGCTTGTGATCTCTTTTGTATCGCAAGATGGCTTCCTTGGTGGTATAGTAATGGAAGCGTAGGATAATAGACCGAGTGCTCAGAGCACAAAGTGCCACGGGACATCACCATTTTTATCTTGGGATGTCAGGCAGCTGGTGCTGGAAGTAGTCCTCCATTTTTTTGCAGTAGTGGGCCTTCATTAGGCGTTTATGGTAGGCCTCTTATGCGCAAGTTATTGTACCTTAATCGGTTTGATAAATCCTCTATTAGCATTTCCAAGTTGCAGAGCTGCTGTTCAGGGTGGAGTGTACTACTGAGTTGTGTGCCTTCACTACTGTTTCAGCTCTGTGTTCTAGGTCAGCATTGCGCTTCCCCAGGGCCTGAATCTCGGCCTTGACTTCCTGAGATTTGTGAGCAATTTCGTCTGCCAGGTAAGATCTCACCTCCGATAGTATGGAGAGTTTTTGGGTAGTATCTCCAGGCTAGAAGTCCATCATGTCATTCTCTGCCGTGGAAGCTGGAGACCCTGAACGCTGGCGGCCATCTTGCGTGGCCTGTGAGGATTGGGATGCCGCGAACATGTCGGCAACATTTTGGGAGAAATCCTGCTGCACTCCTAGTTTCTTACGACGTGGCTTAGGTAGGACATTGATAGATGCGACTGTTGTGTTTGTGAGTTGTGATGCTGTTTGCAGTTGCTTGATTGCCCGTGGATACACGGGAGCCCTCAAGCTATGCGGCCATCAAGGTTGCAATCTCTAGATCCTATGTTTTATATTCAGAAATCATTGTAGTATAGTGCTGTATATTAGAGCTGTTCTCCAAAGCCATATTGTTCCTAGGTAATTCAGAACAGGTCGTAGGTGTGATGAGAACGAAGTATTAAAAAAAAAAAAACTAATTTGCAGCCATTTTCAAATCATGCTTTTGTAAATGCTCAATAGCTATTTTCTGCCTTGCTAACATACTTGAAATTGTATCATTGCTCAAGTGTTTAACAGATTTCTGGATGATTTCTCATTGGGATGGAATGTGAAATGTCCAATGCACCCCCTGATGAAAAATACATTAAAAGTAAAAATAGATCTTGGGGGGGGCGGGGCCTGACTGCGGAATGGAGCAGACGCAAGCTGCAACAGCTCCTGCATTTTACTGCTAACTATACCGAATTTTCATGGAGCAGAGCCCGCAAACAGGCACAATCTTACCTACTCGTGAACGGGGACTTTCTGCCCTCCAAGCTGATACCACACAAGTGGACTACCTCGCCGGCTCCAACCTTGCGGCCTAGCAGCATGGTCGCCTGGGGGAGACGGCCGCTTTCCCGCCGCCACAGCTCACTGCAGACTCCGGATTGGGCTCCTGTTCCCTCCCCCCCTATGGACCGGCAGGGGTCATCCCAGTCCCCACCGACCCGGCACTCACAAAGTATCAAGCTCCTATTGCCTGCTGCGACGTGGGCTCCGACTACACCGGGCCGCTCAAAATGGCGGACACTAGCCGTTCATCAAGGCCTGTGCCCACGCAGTCTCTAATCACACGACTAGACTCAATACTCACCCAATACTGGGAGAAGCTGGAGGAGCGCTCCAAGGCTCAATTTCCTCCTGACCGGGGAAAGAAAGGAGAGGGACCGGAGACAAGGAGGCGGAATGGGCCTGTCTCAGGCACAGCACTTTGCACAGCATATGACCCACGCATCAAAAACCTACGCGGGCTGAGGGTCATCTGGAGTCCCCCTAAGCAGCATCACCCGGAGGGCCGCCTGCCGCAGGTGGCGGAAGATCAGGACCTCCCACGGCGCCCACACAGGGAAGAGACCCGGTCCCACGGAGTTCCCGAGTCAGCCGGAAACAAATGCCAACATCATATCAGGCCTGGGGCTGCAGAGAGGCCTCTTCCTGCCCTCAGCTTACCACCATGCTCCGAGATCTTCAAGCATCAGCTTCCTGCTTGCCAAACACGGGGATCGGCTGACAGCATGGTCGGAGGACATGATCCGGTCTGTCACTTAAAGAGAACTTTCCTCAGTTCCAAACAGGCAGACTTTGACTCATTGCACTCACTAGCACTCCACCCCCATTATGTCTCACTAGCCCGACTATTTTACACCAATATCACTGTACTAATAGCACAGGCTGCCAGCGACCAAAATGCCCACACAGTGAGCCATGCCCCAAGTTGCCTTAATTTCACTGTTGAAATCACTATGCCCCTTTGGCAACTTTATATAGGAGCCTTGATACACTATAATACACGCTAGCCGATCAGGTTGTTCTAAACACCTTACATGGGCCTACTAATGTCCTATCTTAACATGACTAACTACTGTATAGATACGCAGTCTCTCTAAGCATACTACTACACACATAGTTTAGCCAATGTATCGTTTACTAAGAATGTCTTATTTTACAATGCCTAGCTCACGAAAACATAGTTTGACACACTATGACTTTAGCGAGTTAACTCGTATATAGGCAATCAATTCCTAACTTAATCTATCAACATGGCGAATCGCATGAGCTTGTTTAACTCTTAACATGTTACCTGTTCTGATTATAAAAAAAATGTGCAATGTTTTTCAATGCCATACTAACGATATCGTAGGTCTACATATTGGCTTGCACCAGCTATTGTGGCAGTGCAAACATGGTTGTTCACACTATGCATGAATAAAATAAAGAATTTAAAAAAAAAAATAGATCTTGGTTTTGTCATACTTGATATAACCAACTTCAACTTGACATGAAAATTAAAAAAAAAAAATGAAAATCAGCTATTTAAAATATGTATATTGGGGTTTGTAATTGAGTGCAGGTAACTTTTTGGAATAACCAAAAAAATAATAGCAAGTTAATTCAGTTCGTTAATGCACCAACTACAGAACTTGTTAAAATATTTGTGTTGAGGTCAATCTTCCATATTCAATAAAAGTGTCCCTGAAATGTGTAATAATAATATCTACATTCCAGAAAGTACTTGAATAAGTGGTAAAAAAAAAATAAAATAGTTGGCTAAGATGCAAAATAAACAAAACCACGATCAGATAGATAACAATATTCTTAGCATTGCAAGAATTTGCTATGTAGCACTAGATTAGTTTAGACTTGTAAATTCTATTAGTCACTATATATAATAATGGTTCTATTAGCCTGACACTCAGTGCATATTGTACTCATTAAAGTCACTGCTGGCAGACAGTATGAAGGAGAACTCCAGTTCACAATGAAAATCTAATTAATGATGTCTGTAGGCAATATATGTTATACAAAAATTTGCTTTGCTTAATGATAAGTGTTTATTGGAAAGAATCTGTATTGTAAAAAATCATTCCAGTCCTATCTATGTTTCTTTCATGAACAAGGCCCTGGAGGGAAAATGCTCTCAGTGATCACTTTAATTGCATTCTTTAAAAACATTGTTTTTTGATGGGTTTTGTATGTGTCTGTGTGCTTTTTAAGTAATTTCAGTCCATAGAAAGACAACAGAAGTACGCTTGAGAGCTAATCCGTACAAGGCCTGAGGCACATTGCCTGCGTTGAATCAGCAGCCGCTGCAGAATTATGTCACATTGTGCTACTGGGATGGATAAGCATTTCCAGTTAATTCTTAAGGTAAGTGGATTGCTTTTGAAGACATTTGCATATAATATTGTACCTAGCAGTAGTGTTTTTCTGGAGATTGGCCCTCTCAAAGATTTTTAATATACTTACATATCCACTATATTTAACATTATTAGTTCTGAAAAACAAAATTAAATTAAGAAATCCACACCTCTTAATACTTCACCTAGGTGCCTTTATCTTGGTTTGATGTTAACCTTTTTTATAATATCTGACCTTTGTATGTTTTCTATATGCTGACTGCCAGGTGCAGTGAAGAGGATAAATGAATATAGTGTTAGTACTGAACTCAACTGGATTTCGTGATGTCATTTGCCAAATATGTAATCTAATTTCAAAGGAAAAAGTAGTTTCACATGACAAAATAGCATCAATACAACTTAATAGGTAATGTTTATGGTTTTAATCAATAGTGAAGCTCTACTGCTTACTGAATGTTTGTAAACTAAGTCTAAAGCTGGAGTCGAGTACACTCGAGATACACATCTGACATCCCCTGACTTTCATCTACCTTCCGCTGTAGGTCGCACTTGTAATTGAGTGAAATAATCTTGTGGTGTATTTGGTTAGAGTTTAATATTTGAGAGGCTCGGGTATATTTCTTTAGAAAGAATACTCCAAGAACCATAACAACAATGGCCCACTGTAGTTATGTTGACAGGAGTGCCCTGGTATCCTCCCAGTGTAAGTAGACCATTTGGAAAGTTCAATATGTACAGGCACTCTTTTATCCGTAATGGTGCTGGGTATCAAGGTAGCCCACATCAAATACCTTAAACCGGCACCCCATTGATAGCCGAGATTCCTGGCAACTAGAGACTGACTTCGACAGCCACGCATCTGCAATCACCCTGATACACATTGGAACGCTCATCTGAACACACCTGGTTAAGCTACTATACCAAGCTTCAGCAGTTCACTTACACTCAGGACGTTCTACAACATCAGGAGTGGTGAGATCTATCCAAGAGCATCCACCTATGGATGCATGTCTTTGCAATTTTTAGTGTGTACACACTGGGACTGTATATACATTTTTTTTTCTTGTTTTTTCACTTTTTTTTTTACACTTTTTTTTTGCATTTTTTCTATACAGACAACAATTATTTGTTGCAAGGCTCTTATTTGCATAGTGGCCGTTCACACTATAACATTGTTTATTGAGTCAGCATATCAATCAGTGATATTTTATTCAATTGTTGTTAAGGTATTGCATTGTTGTGACCATATAGGAAAGGGCTTTGTGTGACAATTTGGTTTTTTTTTGCCATATTTGTCTTTTCAGAAAGTTTAAGAGATATGTGACTTATAATAGGCAGAATAATAAATATATACTTTTGCTTTATATCTATAATTGAGTGCGGTATCATATGTTTTTATAAGTAGATAATTTGTTAATGGTGTGACAAGTTACCTAAAGACTGTCAGACACTTCCTCCTCTTGAGCCCAAAGTTCTTGCAGTACAGTGCCAGCTCATTAGCTGAGAGCATCTGCTAAGTGCTCTCAGCCTATGAGCTAAGCCCTGCACCAATTGGATATCTCAGTGGTATTGGGCAGCAAAGGAGTAGGCGACTGGTGGACCCCAGGTAAGTTGTCAAACTGCTCGCAATCAGCTTGATTTTCTACAACAGAAGGGAGTCAGGGCACTCCCAGTACAATAAGCACTAGTTATTGAAAGCCCACTCAGCATCATAAACTGTAATGAACAGTGTATATAATTTTAAATGCTGTGATAGAAAAGGCAAACAAGTTAAAATAAAATATCAGACACTTTTGAAATTTGGCAGTAAATTTATTAATGTTCATCTTACATAAATCTATTAATCTAATGGGTTGGTTTTTTTTAAAACTTTTATAAAACTTTTTCTTCACACTGATAACATTAACATAAGCTTACCAAATATCACATAATGGATAAAGCAAAACATTTCATATCTGTTTTCAAGTAGCTCAGTTTGGTCACAACACACATTTGTAAAGGAACTGTTTACACATCTCCCGCCTAAATTCATATAATACAAATAAAAACACTCACAAGTTAAAGGTATTTGTGCTCCTTAAAGGGGGATTTTAAGACACGTTTATTACATATCTGTATTGGCACACATAGACCATCCACCACCACAGTTTCTATATTTTACAGAATCTAGAAAGGTGTATTTGCACATCATCTAGGTTCTTGTACCTTAATGACTTTCCTTGTCACAAAGATGTTTGCAAACGACTTTACTTTACAAGCTGGCTGAGCTTTTTTGTTCACAAACACCCGGGGTTCCAAAGTGAGTCATTACTGATCTATGAAGATTTGAATGGTTTTGAAGTACATTTAATGAAGGAATATCATGTTTCTGAAAGTGACAGTTTCTAATTCCTCTACTTCTTAAATGCTATTAAAGTTCTCACTGGGGTGAGTTGTACAGTGGAGGTAAGGATAAAACACACCTCCACAGCAATTCTTTGCCAGAGTGACATTATTGCACTATAATGGTCTGGACATGGTCAGTTATCTGTTGTGTAATGCAGCACAGGTGCCTGCATGCAAGTATTCTGTCTATGGATGCACAATGCTCCCTAATAGCACTGCACCTATGACCCCATTGAAGATAAATCAGTTTGCATGGGATGCTCTGACTGTGTAAGGACAGTGAGACATACAATGTAATTTTTTTAATTTTTTTTTAAATAATGTAATTGAGGAACAAAAGAGCACAAGCAAGGCTAAAGCAACCCCAACACAATTCCCCTGTAATGTGTTGTATTTTTTAAAGGGACACTAAAGGCACCCAGACCACTTCAGCTCATTGAAGTAGTCTGGATGCACTGACCCAGGTCTCTTTACCCTGCAAAGGTAATCATTGCCGTTTTTAGGAAACTGCAATAATTACCTTTCAGGGTTAACTCCACCTCTAGTGGCTGTCTACCAGACAGCCACTAGAGGGACTTACGGGCTGTTAGGCGACTTTTGCTATGCATGGGGATGTCCAGTGTCACCCAAAACGCCATAGGAAAGCATTGTATAATGCTTTCTTATGTGGACATCCCAATGCGATTGCAATAGGTCTCCCCCACCAGGAGCGAAGGTGGACCCAAGCCAGCACAGAGGGACATCAGCGATAGACCCAAGAAAATGACAATAGGTCTTTTTCACCCCTTCTGCACCGAGTGGGGGAGGAGGGAGCTATAGTTTATAAAAAAAAAAAAAAATCCCTTTAAGAATATAAATCACTAATATTTTCCTGAACTGTTTATCTCAATCCACCTGACCAAGTTCTGCACAGCTCACTGAAGTCTTAATTAACTTTTGCTAACAAAGTGTAAGCATACAGAGTAGTTTATTTCTTGGTTTTGCTGTTTGTATGTATGCAAGTCATGTCCAAAGATATCTGCTTCCCTGGGCAAACATCTGATGCCCCCACTCTTCACCCACCCCCTTCTTTAAAAACTCAAGCAATGACAGATTTCAAAAAAATGGACCAGTCAACATACTAGCATACACTTAAGCATACTTTATATTTCTTGTACATATCTCATAAGGGCAGATACAACACAAGCCTGGGTTTTACAGTAACAGTAAGTTTCATGGTCTGCTATATCAGAGTTCCTAGTCAATAATACAAAATACATTATTATAAATAGTAAATTACTCAGTGGGACTGATATTGAGTATAAACTGAAAATTGAGATGAGAAAAGCTTAAAAACAAAAAGCACATCTGTAAGAACTGATATCATATACAAATGAAATTACCACTGTTCACAGTGAAGTTGCATTTATTTTTTAAGACTCTTTCAGAACAATATTATGTTTTAATCACATCTGCAGGTTATGTACAGTTACAACCAATAAGATTGATACATTCATTGTACTTTTATTTTTAGTGCACAGTTCACAATATGCAAACACATTTTTCATGGTCAATTTTACAGCAGTAAAGGTTTCCAAAGCTTTATAAATACTGCACCAGATGTACATAACATACTATCAAAGCCTAATCCAGAGTTTGAAAAACCAGCAGGAGCCATAAAGTCATGGTCTCCAAATAAAATTGTTGCTTGGCTGAGTTTAGACCATTGTC